TCCGGAAGTGGAAGCCAGTGGAGAGAATCCAAGACAGGGGTTATGTGTTCATGTTTTTTAGTTGCTGTTAAAAGATGAGCTGCTGCGTTCTGGACAGATTGTAAACAATGCAAAGATGATATGTCTAAACCAACATACAATGAATTACAGTAGTCCAAATGAGAGGTAATAAAAGCGTGAATTACCTTTTCAAGGTCTCTAAAATGGAGAAAAGACGTCACCTTGGCAATGAGTGTTAGCTGGAAGAAACTGGATTTCACAACTGCATTTATCTGTTTGTCTAATTTAAAAGCACTATCAAAAATAACTCCCAGATTCCTGACATTGGAGTGGCTGTATGAAGCCAAGGGGCCAAAACCATTAAGGGTATTACAATTACCAAAGCTGATGACTTCTGTTTTATTTTCATTTAAATTCAGAAAATTTAGTTTTAACCAGACTTTAATGTTGTTTAGACAGTTCAAGAGTGGATCCAGTGGAGTGACCCTGTCTGACTCAATCGGAAGATATAACTGAGTATCATCAGCAAAGCAATGAAAAGGGATGTTGTGTTTTCTAAAAATAGACCCCAACGGCAACATGTAAAGATTAAAAAGCAATGGACCTAAAATAGACCCTTGAGGGACCCCACAGATCAGAGGAGCTGAAGATGAAGAACATTCCCCTAAATAAACAGAAAAACTCCTGTCAGTCAGGTAGGATCTAAACCAGAATAAAGTTGTACCTTTGATACTGACCACCTGCTCAAGTTGTGACAACAAGATGTTGTGGTCCACAGTATCAAAGGCAGCAGAAAGGTCTAAAAGCACTAAACAGCAGATCTTGCTGCATCAACGGTTAAAAGTAGGTCATTAAATTATGTCACACCTGATAAGGTCTATATTGATATCAATAATACAATATTAAAAAATCACCATGCTATCCATTTTAATGCCTTGTTTTGTTCTGTGTCATTTGGTAAAGCCAACCAAGCTGATTAAAGATTGTAGAATGAGTGTTTTGTCTTTATTTTTTGGCAGCTGGATGAGGAGGGGTCCAGTAAAATGGAAGAGTTTTGAATTGAATGGATAAATGATCCAGCAGTTGTCATGTCCATTAAGTGTGGGTTCTTTTTGTAATAAGCACAAAGTTTGGATTGTGGAATTAAGTCATCTCAGCCGTTCTATCTCGGTACAGTTTGCTTCTGTTGGCATGGATCCCAGGCTAATTTACAGCCCTACGCTCGCCTTGTCCTTCTTGTCGGTCTCACTCTTGCTACTCTGCTTTCCCTTGTCTCTCTCTGCAAGATTGGCAGGTCTTTAGGGTTTTAAGGCGCTTAGCTTTCCATGTTCCTTCCTCCTGTCTCCCGCCCTTAGAGTCTGACTGGCAGTAATTATATCAGAGTTGGGCTCCTGTTGATCTCGAAGACCCCACAGACACAACAACAGGAAAAAGGCGGAGAAAGAGTGTGAGAAGAAGCAAAAAGAAGCTTGGCAACAAACAGAAATGAGAAAAGCAGCTCTGAAGCACATGGTTGCAGAGAGAAACGGCAATAAAGCGAGGCAGTAAAGGTTATACATCACTGACTCTTGACAGGCATTTCCTATTTTCCTCCTCCTTCTTCTTGTTCGTTTCTTCCATCATGGCTGTGTGAACTCTGTATTCATCAATGTTCACTTGAGCAGCCTTCTGGGCTGAGAAAAAGTGTCTCACTTCACTTTCCTCAGGTGCAACCAGGTGTTTTCCACAAACCTCAGCTGGTTTTTATTGGTCTCATGTGTAACCGTACAACAGGTTAGTTTTCCCTTGATAACTGAACAGCTGACAAGATTTACTTGTTGTGTGAACGCTCATGAAGCATTCACACTATCGAGATCCATTGTTCTTCCGTACACTTTTCGGCACGTTTCTCATCCTGCAGTTTTCAAGCTATTTGAATCATATATCAAAACGTTCAGCTCTTTCAGGAGAAGAGTGCTATGACGTCCGGTATTGGTGTAACTTTAGATTTTTTAAATATTTAGCCTTTTCAGACTTTTTTTTTTCTTATAGAGAATGAATTGAGCTCATGTTACATCCTTCAGATCTTTAGATCTGTTTATAACCTTTTACTGCTCCTTTCACATTTGGCTCTGGTTCAGCTTCTTTCAGCTTCCTTCTGCAAATTTTAACTTTTTTAAATAAAATTTTATTCACCAATTTGTGTACATAAAACAAACATTACAGACTAACAACGACAATAACCTTCTGCAAATTAAAACTTTTTTTGCTACTTTCAACTGTTTTGTGCTCCTTTCAGATTCTTTCTGATAACTACAAGATTGTTGTGCTTCTTCTAACTTCTTTCTGCTAAGTTCAGCTTGTTATGCTCCTTTCAGCTTATTTCTGCCAGTTTCAGCTTTTCCTACTATTACAGCTACAATTTAGCTGTTTTATGCTAATTTAAGCTTTTTAGTTAATTCCACATTTTTTGCACTCTTTTCAGCCTAATTCAGCAAAAATGTGCTTTCACCACTTCCTTCTTGAAACTTAAGATTTTCTCTGCTTTTTCAGATACATTTCAGTTGTTTGTTGTTTTTTTTTTTGCTAATTTCAGTTTTTTTCAGATAATTTCTACTTTTTTGTGCTCATTTCTGCTACTTTTAGCCTAAATGGGTAAACGTTATTTCTGCTTTCTTCTGCTAATTTAAGCTTGTTTTATATTTTCAGCTACATTTTTAGATTTTTTTTAGCTAATTTCAGCTGTTTGCAGATAAATTCAAGTTTTTCTTGTTAATCTCTGCTACTTTCAGCTTCATTCTGCTAATTTCAGCTTGTTATGCTCCTTTCAGCTTTTTTCAGCTATTTTCAGATTTTTCCATTATTTCTGCTACTGTTTTCTGCTACTGCTGTTTTATGCAAATTTTAGCCTTTTTTTTAGCTGATTTCCTCATTTTTTTGCTAATTTCTGCGTATTTAAACCTAATTCAGCAAATATGTGTTCTTTGCACGTTCTTGTGCTAAATTTAGGCTTGTTCTTATATTTCAGGTAAATTTCAGCATGTTTTTAAGCTAATTTCAGCTGTTTTTCAGCAAGTTCTTCTGTAATAAGCACACTGCATTTTCGCAAGAAATGCAATTTCTCTAGTTACAATTGTTTCCTCGTTTTCTGTTTTTGGTGATGCATCTTACTTAGAGGGGTGGTGATGCACAGGTTTGAGCAGGTGAGACCGTAACCTCAAAAGTTGGGTGGGAAAGGTGAAGCACCCACATCTGCCTTTTTTGCTCTACTCTGGGCCATTGAGCAAGGCCCTTATTCCCCTCATCTGCACCCCTGGGTGCCTTAGATGACAGCCCTCTGCTCCACACGAGTGGGCTGCAGTAGCTCAGTGGTTGCATAAGGAAGAACATTTGACATCAAACAAATTGCCAAATCTTCCTGTGATTTTACACGCTGTGGCAACCCCTGAAGAAGGGAGCAGCCGAAAGAAGAAGATTGTCTCACACAAGTGGACAGTTTTAGACTTTATGGTAATAAGTAAAATAAATATTTAGATGTAACACTCTGGTGTCAAACACAAAGTTTTATTGTAAAAGTTGTGTAAATTTGAGTCCCTGACGTTCTGATTTTTATTTTGCGGTGATCCTCCATCACGGTGAAAAGAACTGAACCGTCTCCTGAACGGTTTTAAATTTGGACTGCATGCTTGTCAAGTGAGAGAATAGAAATTAAGAAGCCATAGAGTGAAGATGAAATGAGGCTTTCTTTCCTGCAAAGCATGCTCTGACATTGTTCTCATATAAAGAGTTTTTTTTTTTTTTTTCACATCAGGAAGAAATGAAGGCATCATTTATTATGCCTTGTTCCACTTTTAGGTCCATAATCAGCAAATCTGTCTTTGTCTCAATAATGGCTTGAAAAAGAGCAGACGGGACTTTAAAGGGAAGTTTAATTATCTTAGGAAATTGGAGGCTGCTTTAAATGCACTTCAACCCTGCAGTTACGCACAGATTGAAAGTAAGACTAGCTTTCTGGGCTTTTTAGGAACAAGATATGTTTTAACATATTTAATAAAATACACATATTTTACACCTTTATCACTTCTGATCAGACATTTTTTCTGTTTTTTATCGTAAAATATAGGAACCTTAAAAAATCAAATTAAACAGATTTACTGAATGTTAGCTCCCTCTAACTCAACCAGGTTTCTATTAACCACATGGAACGGGCTTTCTTGCTGATCCTGTCAGGCATGAAATTAAACGGCAGGCCATGTTACGTATTCTTACTTTGCATTATTCTGTCATTTTCACATGTCTCTATAAAATGACCTGCAATAACATGGGAAACCTACTTGAAGTGCTACGCTGCATCATATTCAGCCAGTTTTCAAATTAAGTTACTGCAGAAAGTGAGCATCAATCATGCCTTAAAATTAACTTATGTTCTTCTGTTCTGCTCTGCTTTTCACGTCAGATGGTGTTAACACAGTCTTTAAGGTGTCAATGACTGGAAGTTGTGAGTTTAATGCCGTGAGATGACACAGTCCAGGTCAACTGCTCATTCAGCTTAATAAAAACGTCAGAGGGTTCACAGAGCTGATCCATGACCAGCCACTGACAGCGTGTCACCTTTGCTGTGTTAAAGCAAACCCTCTTGTCCATCTATCCTCTTTTTCTAAGAGGAAAGTATGATGGCTGAATAGATAAAGGCCAAAACAAAGAGATGGAAGGAAAATATGTATTCATAATGCAGGATTTATATATTCAAGGACTAATCTGGCCACAGTTTTAGCTCCAGAAATGGCGTGCAGCCTCTGTGAATATGCACTCAGCATAATTGGAGATCACAGATGAGCAATCATTGCATCAACCATCTGTTTGTAACCATAGTCAGTCTAGAATAAATGTAGCCTGCTAAGCTTTTAAAGACAGGAAACCCTTAGACAAAGATTCCTGCTTGTGTTCAATCAAAGTCCTTTGTTCCCCCCCACCTCCCTTTGCATTTTCTTTCCTCATCATCTTTCCTTGTCTCCTCTCAGCGGCGTCCAGCTTCAGTTTCTGCCGTGCCTCCCTGGAGCACACGGTGTCTGCTGAGGAGCTGAGCTACCAGCTGCCGCGTCGCGCCGGAGGCAGCAACCTGACCTGGCACGACGGCCGTGGCCAGAAGACTGCACATACACGCACCGTCAAATTACTGCAGCAGCCGGGCACAGAGGGCGTCCAGGTATGAAGAGCTCCAAAAAACAGACAGGAAGCTGCTCTGCAGAAGATGGTTTCTGATGCAGGAGAGTGACTCTTAGATGTTGTTCGCTTGACACATTAGATAACACGAGGTAGTTTCTAATAAGGAAACAGAAAAAAACAACCAATTCATATAAGTTAGTGTTATTAAACTTTATAACTTCTTTTTTGTTTTTAAACAAAAATAACTAGATTGTAAGAACTTGCATTTTGATCCCACTTCATGGTTGTTTAGTGTCAAATGAGCCAAGTCCAAGAATTAGTTGTTTATGCAAGTTTAGGTCATTACAGTGAAAGTTGCTGTAGACTGATAATGGGACCGTCGGGCTTGACGGAAACACAATGAACAGTAATTATCTTACCTGTTGGAGATAGCTCTCTAAACAACCTCCGTTTGATGAATATAATTTATTTTAATTGGATTGACAAGCTGAAAGCTTCTCCTGGTGAGATAGATTTCAACAACTGTTTGCTATAAAATAGAGGTTTATTAAAGAAAGTATTTGCAACATTCTTTATGACATGGAAAGATTGGAGATGTTTAAAGCAATCCATAACTGCAGTCTTAAAATGTCACAATGGCTCGTGCAGACACTATTTTATAAATGTTTATATTGCTGTAATTTTTGCATTGCATAGTTATGTATATAGAAGTTTATGATTTTTAGACACAAACAGTGGCTAATGCAAACAGCGGTTAGTTGTAGCACTTTGGGTCATCCTGGGGCACTTTCAGTAGGAATGTCACAGTAGTTCTGCTGAAATTAACTTAAGTTTATGAAACAGCATTTTCACTAAGTGATATGAAACTTTGAGAGTTGTTTTAAGACAGCATGCCACTTTGCTTTTGACCTTACTTGGGCTAGCCATTAGCTTGTCGATCTGATCAAAATTAAATTCTAGTTTTTCAAACGGAGGTTGTTCAAAGAGTCATCAGCAACAGGTAAGATATTAACTATTCATAGCCTTTCACTGAATCCCACTTCAACCCATATGAACATTTCTTTAAAAAATATTGCTCCCAAACCATCTGGAGTTCACCTGTTTGAAGCGTTTTCTCAACTATGACACATTTTCTTGGTAATATTACAATAAAGTTGTGGCGTTTGTGTTCAAATATTGTTTTATTTTGTGAATGTTTTGGTTTAATTTAGCATCCTTTGGATGGACATAAATATGTAATACTGTATAGAAAGTGAAAAACATTTTCTGGCATCAAAGAAACAAGAGAGAATATGTGAAATCAGAGCAAATCTCAGTGTTGATGGGAAGTTTAATTGTCGTATTTTGTTCTTACTGTTGGCTGATCTTGTTTTACTCTGCCATAGAAGAACCACCTGAGAAAAAATATTTACGTATTTGAAGCAAAACTCAAGAACTTGACGTCTTGCGATGAAAAAATGCTGCAAAAATCATAGATGATTGGTAGAGTGCATTAAATATTAAACATCTCCGGAAATCCAATTTATTTTACAGATGAATGTTTTCCCTCAGAGAGCAGCAAAATGAGTTTAAATAGTAGAAATAAAACCCATTAGGGTGCTGACAGGCGCGTGAGGGATGTTTAGTGGTCGAATGTTTCAGCGATACGACGTAAAGCAGCGACTGCATCGTATACTCAAGCACAGTAACATGTATTCTCATTTGTTGAGCGCAGGAGACGTGAAACAAAAGAAAAATAATCTATTTTAAGGCCACAGAACAGCATATCAAACGACATCCTCCTTCTGTGTTTCCGCTCCTTTAATGAAACGGAGCACACAACCCTGTGGAGGTCATGTTAAAAAAAAAAAAAAAAGCTTTGTTTCCCAACTGCTTTTAAGAAAAATTTTAACACGGCGGCTGAAAGACGCATTCGCACTACAGGATTTGTTCAATAATTCATAAACAAGAGTCCTCTCAGCTATAAAGGGCTAAATAAAATATGAGTTAAAATCTGTTTCCATACGATTACACAAAGACTGGATAATTAAACCTCCTCCATACCATGAGAAGTAAGGCTTATCGCTTCCTCGTGGCGACAAGCTTCTTTATGCATTATTCAACAGATGGTAGAGCAGTCCAGCGCGCTGTCATATGAGCGTGTGCATCCAGAAAATTCATTCATCTCTAATTATAAACGTTTGTGTGTATGGGTGTGCATGTATCGAGTGGATTGTTGCCTGTGCGTCCATTTCTCTCAGGACTGATGATTAGATTATTCTCCATTAAAGTGGCTGTACACACGGGCTGTAATGAGGCAGCCAGTTAAGTGAAACAGTTTCTGGGTATGAGGTAGGACCTGGGGAATCCTTCCTGTGTGCTTAACAAAGCTGATATAACACATTACGCACTGGCGTACAAACGGCCTGTCGGGGGAGACGAACGATAATGACTGCGGAGAGCGAGGACAGTCACTTTGGATGTTTTAGCGTTCGCTCATGCTCAAACATGGCGAGTCCCTGTTGTGTTTAAGTGTTAGTGGGACAAATATGTTGTGGGGGACACTTACAGCACCAAAACACACATCAATAATATGGTTTGACGATTCAACAACAACAAAAAAAGGAAGTGTTATGGGAGAATTAACAAATGAATGCTCTGTTATTCAGATTTTTATAGCATTTCAGAAAACAAACTGTATACCACACACTCGCAGACTATTTACAAAATAAATAGGAAAAAGATGTGATCACATTCCAGCTGATCATTGAATATTTGTTTATTTTATTAATCCATAGACTCATTTGTGTTTTTACTCTGCTGTTGGCATAGCCTACTAAAGATCCATCCATGCAAAGAGCAGTTTAGTCGTGAACTCACCTTCTGAGCCCTCCTGGAATCGTTTAGACTTCCAGACAGGGTGAAGAGAGGGGGAGTTGTTGTGTGGCTCATTTAGCTGTCTGCCTCGCAGCTTGTGGCTGAACCTTTAGATGAGACCGGGGAATAGGTGGAATAACGAAGACACAGTTTAGGAACTAATAGCGCATTCGTTTTTCTTTTCCAAAGCAGGACTGAGCCTGTTAGAGGAAGTAAAGCTCTTTCTGTGCACTAATGTACCTTGGTCAGATGGATGAATGGAAAAGAGCACTCCCTGATTATTTTTCCCTCCTCGTTACAGAGGGCAGTGGATGACCTTTTCAACGGACACAAACACAAAGAAGTGAATTAATGGAGAAGCAGTGCACAGTTCACAACACTTCTTCACCAAGATACAGTTTACTGCCATATTTGGATATTTGTCTCGATTCAAATTATTGTTTTAATTTAGAGTAGTGCAGTATTTGTTTTTTATCAATCCACACATTAATTTTTCTTTACCCACTTTTATGTAGATTTTGCACCCTGGACAGGTTACCTGTCCATGACAGGTCCACAAACGAGATAGACATCCATTCATATTAACAATTCACACCTGCTGTGTTGTTTATTTGTCATATGCAAGTTAACACAAGGTCAACAATGCAATGAAATGTTCAGGATGAGAGGAACCGATTTGATTCGCTAGAAACAAAAAAAATAATTATGTAGATGAACAGATGCTGGGATGTATTCATCATTTAACGCGAGTTCCTCATTTTTCTGGACTGAATAAAACGTGCATTGAATTTAAGGAAATGCAAACGTGAGACGTCATTTAGATTTGACCCATCAAAATGAATGCGGTCATTTATTTACAGAATCAAATTTAACATCAAACATGTACATTAATTTGGCAAATTATGAAAATAACAACAAAGCAATCAATCAGGAAAAATCATACGGCCATGATTTTTCCGTTGCTGCACCACAGACATGTATAAAACTGTACAACTATGACTTTTACCCACACGGATGTGAATAAGCACTTTACACAGACATTTCTAAATATCTGGGAGAATTTCTACTTCATAGGAAAGTTTAAAGATGGAAAGAAGTTTAGGGGGAGTAAAGGATGGTGTGTGAGGGAAATTAAGTGTTTTCCAGAACCGACACTCTCCATCAGAAGCCCAGCTCGCCTCGGTACGCTTGGTAGGAAACTTGACCCATTACCTCTCTGATGATAATCAGCAGATATGGTGTTCCGTTAACGCTACCGGTCCAGCGTCTCCTTAGAATGGCTGTTGCCCGTCAGAAGTAGTGGCGAGGCTCTGTTCGACACACCTTCACCTCAGTGGAAAATGTTATAATCCCATGGAACTCGGAAGAGCTTCGTTGTCATGTCAGGAACTCCAACAGCACTCCATCAGAACTTTAGAACTCTGAACTCTCGAACTCTCCGAAAACTCTGTGAGTCTGTGTCTGTGAGTCTCTGTAGAGTCCGTAACTGTGTCTAGACCAGGAAGTACTGACCTTTTAAAGACTCTTTCCCGGTTCACTTTTTGGGATTTTTCATTGGTCAGAAACGACCAGAAGGGGTGTGTTTTTGTGACGTAAGGGGTTAGAGACAGCGAGAATTGTTATGAGACAGCTCAGAAATGTTCTCAGAGACCGAGAGGGTTCTGTTTTGGCGTGCCTAAGACACAGGTGCAAAACATCTCTATTTACGTCTGAGAGGATTCTAAAACATGACAGTTTTAACATAACAACTTGTTTTTCGTTTGACTGTAACCTTGTAAACGCACACACTTGCTCATTCAAAAGCAGAAATCAGAAAAATGCATAAACTCTGCCACAGCTTTTAACATGAGAATAAAATCATTACTCAGTTAATAAAATTGATTAGTTCACTGCAACATCTAAAATGGTTTGAACTAAGACACTTTGATTATCAACATTTGTAAGATAGTAATGATAATAAAAAGAGAGTGTTCTTTTCACTTGAATCTTCAAGAAAGAAAGTCTCAGGATGGGTGAACCTGTATTTATGGAGTCAAATACATGAAATGACAGCTTCTGTCCCACAAGGTTCTAAAGGTCAAGAGTTTTGACCTTAGACTGGGTTTCGACGTAGGCTTAGTCCACTACAATTAAACAAACAAACAAGAAATACTAAATCCTCTGGACAGTTTAGTTTTCTGTTGA